GCAAGGAGAAGTAACAAAATAAGTCCCTCACATGACTTAAATTCAACTCATATTTTCTAATCTCTTTTGCATAATTTTTTAATTAAAAAAAAGTGTACTATTTGATTACTATACTTTCGTTGATACAAGTTAGGTCAGAAAATTTTATTTTCTTTTTAACTCTCTCTCTATTTGACTTAAAATTCACTCATATTTTTTATTTATTTTAATAAAATTTTCATCTTGAGAATAAAAAATAATGGTATTTTTTTTTTAGTATTCCATTCGATTTAATTTATATTTGACCCGAGTAACGCACGTGAATGCGATAAGTGAGTCGAATAACTATATTCTTTAAATACTGTGCTTTCATTGTGAGTAAATTTACTTTTACATAAGTATAACAATTATAACTGCACCTAGTAAGTTTCATTATTCTACATCTCCTTTTTTACTGGTGAATTCTAACATCCTTTTTTCTTTTACAAAAAGTAAGGTAAAGATAACTTTTGAACAAATTATCAAATATTGTAGACCATTGATTTTAATCAGATGGCTAAAAATGTATTACAAGATACTAGTTATTTAAGTTAGATTTATGAAAGGATACATTGGTAATTTTATATTTTTCTTCCTTCTCAATTCGTGACAATTATAAGTCGAAAGTTGATATTCTTTATTGGTCATTGATATATAATTTGTTGAACAATATTCAATACAGTTACCATAAATATACAAATTCTGAAATTAATAATGTAATTATGCAATCGTTTCTTTCGAATATCAGTTTCCAATTTTTTGTTCTTGTTCTATTCTTCTTCTTTGTCTTTATCGTTCTCTTCCTTTGTTTTCCTCCTTTTCTCCCTCTTTCATTCTTATCCTATAAAGGATTCGCAAATGACAGAATCTTTACCTAGAAAAATATAACACTAAAAAATTTTAAAAATTTTGAAATTTTAGAATCTTGTTTGTGTTTTTCTTTCGTCGTCTTTCTCCTTTTCTTCCTCTTTTATTCTTATCTCATTAGTACCATCAAAGATTTATAAATGAAAGAATTTTTAATATAGAAGAAATAGAAATTTAAACTAATAAAATGACATGTTTTCTTCCACTTTTTATCTAATCCAATTTAATATTCATGTATGCAATGCTTTCTGCACATTGTTTAATATTGATTAGCTGCATGAGCTACTCTATGGGTACCAAGTCATTGTTATGTTTATTAACATATTGGAACAACAACTTCTAATTCTATTAGAAGCAAATAATCAAAGCTTATCTATAATTTTGTATTAAAAATTAGAAAAGCCCTTTGTATATGCACCTTCAAAGTTTATGATGTTAAAAACAATAACATTCATGTAGAAAGTATATTAAAAAAAATGCTAAGAGAACCGATGTATAAGTAGCTACAAAAAAAAAAAAAACTTTCTACATCAGTTTTTTCTAGAGAACTAAAATAGAAAGTTTTTTCTTAAAAAAAAAGCGTTTGCATCAGTTTTATGAGAGAATTGATGTAGAAGTAGATACTTAAAAAAAAACTAACTTTCTATATCAATTTTCTCGAGATAACCAATGTAGAAACTTGTATTTTTTTTTTTTTAAAAAAATGTTCTACATCAGTTTTTTGAAAAAATCGATGTAGAAGTAGTTACGTTAAAAAAAACTTTCTACATCAATTCTCTCCATAAAACCAATGTATAAAGTATTTTTTAAAAAAAAATACTTTCTGCATCAGTTTTCTGAGAGAAACAATGTAGAAAGTTGCATTTTTTTTAAAAAAAATATTTTTTATGCCTTTTCCATTTTTGCTTTTTCCTAATTGCATTTCATCTTCTTCTTGGCTTTGTCAGAGGTCTTTCCCTTTTCGGTGAAATCTCAGCGTATTTTTTGTTATACAGATTGAAACTCAGTTTTAATTAATAGGGCAATGCATGTGATTTAGAGTAAATTGTGGAAGAAGCCACGGAAGAGAACGAGGAAAGGCCACATGTTGAGTTCCAATTTTGGCATTAGTAAAAACAACTTTCTTCTTCTCCAAAAAACAAAGTTTTCGTAACCAATTGCAAAATAAATAAATGAAGTTGAACAAAATCATTGTTGGGAGTAGGATAAACAAAGAAGATAAAGAAATATCCAATGAAGAGGACAAGGATAATTAGGAAAACTCATCTTTGAGTGAGATTTCATCTGATTTTAAAGTTTTTTTTTTAAATCTATATCACTATCAAACTTTAGATAATTTTATCCAACAAATTTCAAAGTTTCGATAAAAAAAAAAAAAAATAGAGGAGGTTGAGAGGAAAGGGGAAAGATGAAAATGGAAGGAGGAGTTGTCTAAAGATGAAGAGGAATCAAATGAAAAAGAATAACAATTTATTTATTTACTCTTATTAACGTCTTATTACCCAATATAATTATATGTTACTCTTAATTTTTAATATTTTTATTAATTAATTTTAGCCATTCATTTTCTATCTACAAATATTGACGGTTTAAAGTTAATTTCATTTTACTTATTAAAAAATTTTGTTTTAACATTTTACAAAAGAAAAGAGGATATTAGAATTTATAGTTTTGACGAGATTGAAAAATTTTACTCTCTTTCTCATGCAGAGAGAGTGAGAGAAGTGTTAGAATCTTTCGACAGCAGATATTAAATTTGCATATTTACTTAGTTTAAAAACTTTTTATAAAATGTGAGATTGACAAATTTAATTATTCAATAATCTTTAAGCAGTTACAAATAACTGCCAACAAATAATGTCAGTTTTAACAATTACGGTCAACGTTAAGGAGTTTAACCTCAGTTATAAATAACTGCTGGAAAATAAAAGGATTTTAACGTGTAACTGTCGAAAAAATTGAAAAGTTTAACATCAATATTATTTAACCGACAGAAAATAGAAAGATTTTAAGGTTGGTTATTATTAAACCACCACTAATTTAGTTTTCGTGTCAATTAAATAGTTACTAATTTAGTTTTTTAGCCAATTTTTTTTTCTTATGTGCCATTTCTCTACCCGAGGTACTCTTCCACCAATTTTTTTCATTGTCTGAAAGCTGTAGTTGAAATTCTCATTGCAAATCTAACTTTGTGAAGACATTTTCCATAAACATAATCTCTCGTTCTTGATATTATACACTTTTATTGCATACTCCAATTCTATTATTTTTTAATTTTATAATGTAAAACCTCAATCTCATTTTCTCATCTGGTGTTTGAATCTCAATATTATTTTCTCATTATATATTTAAATTTCAATGTCATTTTGATTCGTTCATACTATAAATCCATTAAAGAAAACTAAAAACTAAGAATATTAGTCATCATAATTATATATGTATATCAAAATTCACCTAATTTAGACATTGACATTTTTTAATATTTTAAAAACATATAAGTAAACTATAAACGTTTATATTCTACTTACTTTTGGTCATTTTTTGGTTCAATAACCTTGTCATTTTTATCTTTTTGTGCTACTAAATATGCAAATTTCATGTTGATAATTTAATATCCTTTTGTTAGTTTAATCCTTATTTGAAAATCTTTTGTGAACTTAACATGATCAAACCTTGTTTGATTTGTTTTTTGTTAATCATCTTAATATGAATGACTTACACAGAGTAAATGCACATTTGATCTAACAAGTGGTTTCCAGTGATCAATTGTTAAACTAGTTTCTCGATTTATTGATCAAATAAAGTTAAAATATTGTATGTTTTCATGAATGTTTGTCCTTATTAGTTTGACTTTGTTTCTTATTAGTAATTATAAGAATTGACTTCTTTGAATATAATAAAATTATCATTCTTTCACATGCGACACAAAAATATTTATATGCATTTAAAAGATAAAAGAAAAAAAATGTATATTTATATACACATATATTTGAACCACTTTTTATGACTTTTTCACGTCCTTCATTTTGATATTGTGGCTTTTAGGAAGAACATGAAGCTATCCTCAAACGACGGGAAGATCCTAACTCCGGAGTCACGTGGAAAGAATACAAATCAATGACATTTACATTTCAGGTGGATCAACAATTTCTTCAAAAAAATTTTCTTTCCAATGAGAGACAATTTTTGGGTTAATTTGTATGTGTGCATGCATAACATTTAAAAGTCCATGACGATTTGCAGTTCATAAATGAAACCGTGAGACTCGCAAATACGAGTCATCTTACGAAAAGACAGTTTTTGATAGCTATGATATGCAACCAATTATTGGACTGTTTAGGAAATTCAATTTATTTGGTGGGACTCGAATTTAAGTAATTATCAACTTTTATTGGTCGAGTCCAGTGAACACAAAGCTTGTTATTTAAGTAATGGAAAAGCGCAGTGTATCTGACAACATTACCTCATATGGTGAATTTATGTTTTTATTAGATTTTCTTCTCGATATACTACGTGGGTGGGATGGGGTAGGAGGGTTGAAAAACGTGCTAGACGCAAAACAAGACATGCCTTACCTTTAGAAAAAAAGGCGACAAGTGAGGGGAAGAGAACTTATACTTAGTAACAAGTGATGTAAATGTTTCAGGTTATATGCTTGTTGATATACAATTTGGTATTTGAAAGTCACAATTTGTATTGCTGCATCTTTGACGTTTTTTATAGGAGGGATACATCACTTATAAGTTGACAACTCAGTAAGGTAAAGTTATTAGCAGGTTTGATACTTTTTTGTTACTATAAGCAACAAGTTTAACACTTGACAGAACAAAGAAATACAAGTCATTTTTTGGGATCAAATTGCAAATTAACTATCTTTTCTATAAAAACATCTCCCACATGACGACAGTGAAATACATTCTATCTTTCAATAACTTTCCTTCCTCAATTGTTGTGCTCCCCACCCCATTAGAAAGTAATAGAAATGAAGAAGGAATCAAGATAGACTAGTGGAAACGAAAATAAGAAAGAAGGAAAGAAAAGGACAAAGCGTAACCAAGATTCTGAGGTAGGTAACAAGTTGCTCTAAAACATTAGTGTCCGGAATTAAAAGACAACTACAACTCTCTCAACCCATCCTCTTGCTCATCTAACAGAACTTGTTTGTGTTTGTCATAATTTTCTAGCCTCATTTTATTACGCTTCAACCTTTTCACTTTAACTAGTCCCTTTGAATTATCACGTTCCTTTCTGTGTCTGTGATGTGCAGGATTGTCAGGATCAAAACGCAACACATTATCCATGTTCCTTTTTTTATGTCCATGCTTGTGCATTTCCTTTTGAACATGGTGTAAATAATCAGAGTTACTTTCAGAATGCTTGTGCTTATGCTCATAATTGTTCCTTTGCCTATATTGAGCACCATAGCTAGGGTGCCTAAGTTCTTGCTTATGATGATGCTTGTCATGACGAATACGGTGATGGCCCTTGTCAATTTTATACATACGTTTATCCATGATAATCTGTTCATCAGTGCCTATGATATCCTCCCAGCAGTCATAAAGAGGATCAAATAGACCTTTCTGGTGCAAAAGCCATAATAGCACAAGCACTGCAATTTCAAGGAATATTTATTTAAGCTGTTTTGCTGAACTTGCAAATTATAGTATACTAATAAATATTAAATAGAAGCCATACCTGAAGGAAAAATTGCCAAAAACAAACCAAACATCACTATCCAACTTAGGCATACATATTGTATGTGGCACTTGAAGTCAAAAAACCCAGAGCATTTTTGTCTGCTTATCCACCCAAACCAAAGAATGGGGAAGAGATTTGACCAAACAATTAGTCAAGGCAAATGAATCAATATTAAACAAAGATTATAGTTAAGAAAGCAATAGTTATTGATTTTCCAATACCCTTCTTCTATGTGGGGGTGATTTGTAGTCAAGTTTATAACAAAATATTTAAAATCACTAAGAACAGAACAAGGATACCAATATAGAAAAAACTCATTGCCACATATCTAAGAACACGAAGCAAATGAGGAAGGTTTGATCCACACGATCTTGAATAAGAGTGCCAACTATTGTATCATCGTTACCCACTAGATTGTTGAATAATAGTTTCAGCATTAATAATCCTACTATTTTTTGTTAACCTTTACGCTTAAATTAATGAAAGAATATCCCAACTATTGCTTTCATGAAAAATAAACTATATTTCACATGCTCACAAGTCACAATAGTCAGTGTTACTCATCTCTAATTAACAAGTAAAGTTTCTAACCAAATTGGGGAGGGGGCGAGGGGTTCGATAATGAAATACATGTCTCTTAATCAAAGCAGCTCTAAATATTTTCCCATGAATAAATTTTATTTTCATAATAGATGATACAAAATTTCAAGAAACCATTTTCATTATAGATGAATAAATACAGAATTTAAATCACGTAACCTGCAAAGTATAGCAGAAAATAATACCTGCAAGTTTTTCCAGTGATAAATTCTACTAAGCATGTCCATATTCTATTCCATATGCTTTCTATAGAATCAAAGAAACCATTTATACTGGTTTCTGGTGGTTGAAAAGGGATACCCTGAAGTAATAGACGATTTAGTGATCCGCAAAATCATATGATTTTGTTGTCATAAACTTCATAATATCACCGATAACGAGCCTATTTATTGTGAAACAATCAGAAGACTATTTGGATGAACTTAATATCTATGGACAAGGAATAACTTTACAATGTCAAATTTAGGACTCTTAACTAACCTGCTTCAGTAAGAACAATTAATGGGAAAGAGCCAAGACGACGACTTAATACCAATTGTCCTTCTGCTCATTCTACTAGTGATTGCTTATAGCTTATTATTAGCCATTTTGAGTTATTAGAAACAGTTTTAAATGTATTTTGTAATAAAACTGCAGATCAAAGTACTGCCGTAAGGTCTTCTTGATCTTATCTTACAGTCCAAAATAACTCTAGTCTTTAAGTTTGGTCAAGAGACCGATACCAAAACTGGCAAATTTCAAATGAGAGCAACAGTAATTAGTAAATAGTGAAGCAGTACATATTCACTTTGTGGTAGTTGCAATAGGTGTTCAAGTCCATGTTTACTTAGTTGTACCACATAAGCAGTACATATTGAATGTGTAATAGTCAACACCACTCATATTACAAAACCAGGGCAACAAATTAAAATTAACAACTAACATCAAAATAGGTTAGAAAGGTAGTCAAACATAAACTTAGTCACATAAAAAATTAATCACATGCATTATCAATCACATTTCATACAAGAGTGAGCCCTAATAATTCCTAGAACATATAGAGGTATTTTTTTGTGTTGAATTCACCTATACAGTAGGTCCCATTCTCGTTTTAGAGGGAAAAAAATCTCTCATAACATGTTGATCTGTTACAACTTTTAAAGAGATCGTAATATGGTATGCAAATTTGAATAAGTTTCATGTCATAGGAGAATACAAGTACAACAATAGCAAAGCAAAGCTATTCTCAGCCAGGTGTAGTCAGCTACGTGGATTAAGCAATGCCATAGTATTCATGTTATAGACAATAAAAGACACAAAATTCAGGTACCAGGAAAGAACAAACCAGCGTTCCATTGTCAGGAATAGTTGCTGTGGTAGCAAATTGACATTCAGCTCTATCTACTTCATTATAATCAGAGTCCTTTAATATGGCTTCATTCAAAACACCCAAAAAAAGGACACAAAGTAAACATCAAATTATCCTTAGAACAAATAACCGTGCATTAATCCTAAACTTCAACTTTACCTGCACAGAAATATTTTGAAGCTTGATCAGTGTTTGGGTAGATTTTGAATGATTGAGTTGTAATCTCATTTGGCTTCATTATTAAAAAATGTTCCTAACCATGTTTTAAAGAAATTATAAGACCAATGAAATCATAGAACAGAAGGGGGAAAAAATAATATGCTAGAGTTGAACGCATGTTTCAGCATAATACCTCCATCAGGGCGATATCCTTGGAGCAGTTAAACTGCAAGGCAACACAATATGGCAAAGCACTAAAGCTTATTGGACCCTCGGGAAAATTATAGCCATGAAAACTTCAAATATATTTGATCCAATTTTTTTGTAACCTTAAAAAAACACAAGCATCTAGGGTAGCATGCATATGCTAAATTCCTAATCATGTCGTGCAGTCAATTCAACTAACTAGAGACAATTTAACCAAACAGACTCCTAAATCTTACTGGCATGCAAAAAAAAGTGAGATGAGGTGTTAAAGATACCGCGATAATTAAACAATTGCGGCCCCAAATAAACAAAAAAGCACAGGCTAGATGTTGATTAAAATTTTACAATTCCAGGATCCTATCATATATTATAATTTACAAGCAAAGAAACAATATAGAACTTCACCAACGATTCCAAGCTTTGAAGAACTCTGCCACAAGTATAGAAATTAATATAATGCATAATTAACATTGAATACAAAAAATATCAATATTCCATTGTCTAAGCTTAAGGAGGAGTAGATAACGAAAACTCAAAAATAAATGCCATGAAGCACAACATAGAGCAGCTGACTACCGTCAAACTATATGATGCTTCAACCTCACCAGTATTCTTGGTTGTGATTGTAGCAACTCCAAATTGAGTTAGGGCTTCAAATGTCGGGATGCTAACACTAATAATCTTCCCAGGGCTCCTAGAGAAAAGGAAGCTTGTTAAACAAGTTTTGAAAAGTTTTTACTATAAAGACTAATCCTGGTGGACATTATAAGTTTACAACAAACCAAAGACATTCCGTAGTGTCAATAAAAATAAAAGTAGTTGCTTTATGGAAACTTTTCACTATCATTTTTCAAATATTTTCTACGTACCAACTCATATTTCAACATTTTCTTATAGATTTGTATGTGCATTTATGATTAGGAACTTCATTATGTCTTCTTAATTACTGGAAATCCGGATTCAAGACATTAAAAAGTGAGAGGAAAAGACCTCCCATCCCCATCTAGAAAGAAAAAAATAAAGTAAAAATAGAGTTCAACATCATATCGTGAAACATTTTTGTCAATGAACAACTAGAGTTCAGCATCTCAAAACAATTTTGTCATCTTACAATCTCGTTTAAGCTAAGAAATCAATCTTAACCATCAAATTTCTAAAGGAAATATGACAAATTATCAAGAACCTTAGTTTTCAGTCACTCGTGATATAGTGCTTAAAACCAAGTGTAAAAGAAAAAGCCACGATAGATCCATATCCATGAAATAGATAATTATAAAGAAAGACACTATTTTGAAATTATTTATATAAAAAGAGAGACACACACCAAGGAAATAATAATACCTTTGATAAACATATTCTACATCATTGGCACTTAATTCTATCACAAGGTTTGTATTAAGAACCTCTGTAATTCCTATGGAGAAAGAATAAATCCCAGCATTCTGTAGACAAATCAAATAAAAAACTCATTTGTAATACAAGACACCATATTCAAATATAAATATAAAACTATTGTGACATAACTGGATGTTGATTTATCCTTTCAAACCTTCCTTCCAAACCATAGAGTGGCACCTGATTCCTACTTTTTCGATTCAGGTCAGCCTGTTCAGGTCAAGAAGGTTCCTTTCAAATTTCTGAGAACTATAAGATAACTGCATATAAAGTTTTGGTTAAAATATTGGATAATCAATATATTATTTTATTTGAAATCATTAGAAATGGATCAAGCTTGACTAAACACCAAAACCTAACAAAGGGGTAAGATTGTTCAAATCTTATAAAGAATATTTTGGCTACGTTCATAATCTTAATTAACTTGAGACATCTTAACACATACTTAATGCACAAGACTAGACATCTAAAGTGTAAAGTTGATAGAACTAAACATATAAAATGGCTGAATATCAAGGCTAGATAAGTTTTAATATTATATTATAAATAGACGGATAAATTTTTAGAGAAATCTTTATAGGAAAATGAGTCAATATAAAAAATAAATAAAATTTCTCTTAAAAGTTAAAAACAATTTATGTTTCGTTATGTTTTTTAGAAACTCTCTTATTTCACTTTTATAAAATTTGAAGAGATAAGTTGTTTCTAACTTATACTAATTTTAGGAGTTTTAATTATTTTTTATACTTTTTTTTTTGTTGTACAAGAACTTCTTTACAAATTTACCAAAATTGGACAAGAGTTAGCTTAGATAAGAAGAATTGTTCAAACCTAATAATGAGTATATTGGTCGTGTTCTTAGCTAATATTGGATATTTGAACATAAATAAAACTTTTATATGTTTATCAACGTAAACATGCACATCTTAAAATCTTAGATGAGTGTTTGTGTGAGCATGCATGTGCTCAATTTTGAGTGTCAGAATCATTAAAAGTCGTCCTTGATCCTGTTTAACAAATTAGACTTTCGGGTACTGTTGTCCCTGCACAGGAAAGAAAGACAAGTATACCACCAAAGAAAGACTCCTATGTGGAATCCATACTGCTACAAAATGGAAATGAAAAGAAAAGGATGGAGATGAAACCAAAAAAGAAAGATAGGAATATGAGTTAAAGAAGATTTTTTTTTTATTGTAGTACGAACCTCCCGAAAATTCCACAACTGATTATGCAAGCAAGTCCAAAAGGGTGAAGAGCAAAAATTTGGTTGTCGATTGAAAGCTTCAAAACTGACACCAATTTTGTTACATTCAATACCATCTAATGTAAATCTCACTCTTTCAAGTAGCATCCACATAGAAATGTTTCTCCCTAAATCTTGTGGTTGACCAGGGCTGCCCTGTCACAAGAAAAATTTGTAAATAATTTGTTTAAGCTTGTAAAAGTTGCGATTCATACCAAAACTTTGTAAAAGTAGTTCATCACTGTTTAACAACACCAATAATTAATGTGTGTGATCTGTAGTAAAAATGGGGAAAAGGTTATTCTTACTAAAAAAGTGCATGACCTAAGTAGGAGAGAAGACTACTAGAACTATTATTTGTCTGATATTATTTCACGTTGCAGGAATTGTTCATTGAGAAATCTCTAGAAACATTGTGGTCGTAATTCTTTATATGCAGATATAGTTACAATGCTAACAATTTTGGCAAGTAGAAATCATGATATCTCTTAGCTAGTCAACATAGTTCAACCTTTTACTCCAACATATTTTTTTCATACGCCAAACAAAGAGATTTATAACACTAAAATCGATAGAGGTCAACTATAATGTAACTATTAAAACAAGCGTACCTGCCTTGGTACAACAAGATAGAAATCCTCAAAAGATGGTATATTTGTATACCCAACAAAATCTCCAATAAGATTAACCCTCAAAAATTTATCATCAGAGATCACTGTTCTGTTTTCAGGACCCACAACCACTTCCTATAAGCCAAATTATGCACGGACAAAGTGTTAGATACAAACTGAAAAAAAAAAAAAAGAGAAAAAAACTAATATTGTTTAATATGTATGCATGCATCTTTTAATATTTTACACCCACTTTCTATGGCAAACACGTTATAATATCACACATAAAGGACAATTAAAACAAATGATTCTTTTACTCATTAACCGACTTTTAACAGGTTATGGCCTCAAACAAGCATTTTTAAAAAATTGAAGAAAATAAAAAATGTGAATCCTCTTTTGTTACAACAGTTGGAGAATAACAATAATTAATTAACCAGTTGAATGGAGAAACAAGAAACAAAAAAAGAAGTAAATTTTAAGAGATAATAATGACCTTAAAGTGACAATAAAAAAATGAAGTCTTGGAAGAAAAAAAAGTAAAATAATCATTTTATAATGGAGTAAACATAGAATTCTATGACTGGAAATAACCTACGGCTTGCAATTTCAGCCCTAAATTTATTCATACATACAAAGTAGTCCTTAAAATTTTTAAAACTAATAAGTTAATTCTTCTATTTAGTCTCCTTCAACAAGGTGAACAGTATCCCTAGCATTCCTGACTTAGCACGCCCTCGCCTTGACATGACTAAGCGCCCATGTATCTGTTAAATGCCTCACTGGCACAATACCAAAGTCAACTAAATCTGTACAAGCTTTGTGACCCCAAAAACTTAATAAAATGACCAACATTCGAATACCTCAACACACAAAGAGATCATAGAAAAATTGTAAACCAATATTATGCTGGTTCTGTTAGTATATAAGATGCTATGTGGTGCTTCCTCCTTTCTCTGCAATTGAGTAATTGGGGTAAGAACTTCTAAGGTAAAACTTTGAGAGTTAAAAAGGTAGGGCTTGGCATGTGGAGTAACTTATCAAGTGGCATTTAACGGAACATTAAGACACTTAACATGCTGCTTCGGGGGTAGCTGTTTACTCTGATGGCACAAAGGGATCATGTTATGTTTTAAAATTTGAAGTATTAATTTGCGTACACAGATAAACCCAGAGAGTAAAATACACATGTAAGATATTTTCAAGGATTAAATTGGTTGTTTACTTAAAAATAAGCTACAAGTGAAGACCAAAAAAATGCTATTCTAAGTTTAGCAAATGAATGGGAAAAAAGAGAAAAAGAAGGACTATGTATTTAGCTATTGCTTATTAAAAGGAAAAGAAATACATGAAAACTAGGGTTGCTGATCCAAAGTTACCATGGATGGTAGAGAAATCCAGGGTCATGAGATGAGACAAAATACGGTCGTCTATGGAAAAAAGACAAATGACATACCAAAACTTTAGTTCCACTCTTCACCTGTATTCGAACACTGAATCCCAATGTTCGCCGCCCAATGCCAAAAACATGAAACCTGAATTGATTTAGAGAGAGAAGGAAATTTGAGTTGTAACTGATGACTAAAACTAGGAAGTCACTCTCGCTTTCAAATTTCAGAGATCATTACAATCAAAACAGGACTCTTCCGAGTAAATTATACTCAGGTAACTGATCTAAGTCCTAAAATTACAACAAGATCTAGTTATTTGATTTTTGTAATTGATTTTTTTAAAATCTGGAAATCGAAAACAGAAAAATTAATCTAAAATTGTTCATGATAACTGAAAAATTACAAACAAATATCTTGACAAGATAACTTGGAAAACAAGGTTTGGGATATGGGTGTTGATCTGTATATTGGTTTAATATAAACATGGTTTTCTTATGTTCCTCTAAGTCTAGCAAAAAATAATCATAAATGTAAACAAAAGCCATTGAAGACCATATATCAACCAGAATAGCCCAAATCAATCACATTTGGAATAAAAAAAGGTCTGTGAGGGTGGAATCTTACCAATCACCTGGAAAACGGACACAATGTGCAGTGTTGGCCTTTCCTTTTGTCAATTTGTCAACTAGTTAAACAATTTCACCCAGAATTGTTAGTTCTGTGTTTCCTGAAAAATTAGAGAATGCTGCAACAGCAAAGCACTTACAAAAGTTTCCACATGATAAAGGCATCCGCCGCTGGGGCCCACATGGACAACATATTGGCTACATTAAAGATGGAAAGGGAGATATGTCAAATCTGAATCCGAAGTGAAAAATGAAATGCCAGAGAATATTTGAACGATGGGGGATTAAACACAAAATTCCTTCTTTTAAAATTATCATCATAACCCTGTCGCAAAATATTGTAAATTATAAGTGAAGTAAGCTTGCCTTCACAATATAACTCAAGTGCATATTTTAAAGCATCATGATTAAAAAGAACAAAACAATAAAATTTGTTGTTTAAAATCACATGGAAGGCACGAATAGCAACCAAGATAGCTTAATAACGAACCAATTGCTTAAATAAAAGTAGGAGTTCGAAGGCCACCTGGGTGTTCTCAATGATATGACCCTCTTCATCTCGCAGTCTGCAACACAAGCACCAAAAACCAAGCAGTCAAACAGTAGTCTTAGACTCTAATTAGTCTCTAGTAAAAAGATAAAATAGCAATAAAATATGGCTTGCCTCTCGCATATCTTCACGACATTTGCACCTGCATCTGGCTCACATTTGCGTGTCTTAACATAATACTCCTCGGGTTTATAAGGAACATCCTGCCAAGAAGCAACTTAAACTGATAATCATACGAAATCTCAAACTACATCAACCACAATCCTCTGCCAGTCATTAGCTTTGTAAATAGAATTCTCAAAAATCATAACAATAAAATGATAGATTAATTCTCGATAATTTATTTGAATGAAATTATCGTCATCATATATACATTTCAACAATTAATGTGGCAAATGTACCACGTAAAGAAGATACTGTGAAAAAAGAGAAGTTTAACAAGAGAAAAATTAACAAAAGTGAAGTATCATACTCGTATATATGTTAACTCATACAATGCATAAGCAGAAGTTTTGTTGACCGTTATCACAGGTGGAATCCGCAATGTCTGCATTTTGTTGGTTGAATTTTCCTCAACTTCCACCAATTCTGCAACAATCGACGCCTCTCCTCCACTCTGCACCGTCACAAAACAACTTCAAAATATATATATATTAAAAGAAAACATGTTATGTACCGCCGCGTAACGTGGTTAATTTACTTGACGGAACATTAACTCAATGAACATGATGTACCGTGCCACTGGGAACGGCCATGTTAACTACGATTTTGGTTGTGCAATTGAGATTGTCGGAGTTAGAGTTCTTCTCGCACTTCTCAAGCTTCGATTTGGAGATAATTTGAACTCCGGCAACGCGGAGCGCAAGAAAGAAACGAAGTAAGAAGATGATTAGGATGATACGGCAAGGCATGGCCATTTTTTGGAGGTTGTAATTTTCAATGTTCATACAAACTTGTTTGAACTCATACAAAGTTCTTCTATATAATGAGTAGAGTAAACACTCGTATTTTAAAAACTAAAATGGGTACAGTTTGGGTAGAAATCGCGTGCATGTTAGAAGTTAAAATTACTGGTAGTTTTAGAAGTTATAATTAATGGCGGTTTTAATTGTGATCAAATAGAAGTTATAATTACTGGTACTATTGCCCGTGGATATTTCAACAAAAACTGCAACTATTTTCTACCATTGAAGTTAATTTTCTACCAATGATGGCCGGGTGCATGAAAAAGAAAAACAAGTAACAATAAAAAATCAAAATGCTATATGGTAATCTAATGTGTATTTGACTAAGGACTGCTTAATTATATGGTCATTGTATTAAATTCAGAAGAGTTAGTAACACCAAACCATCCAAAATATGTTCTTGAATTATCAAATTGAAAGACTAGCATAACCGGTCAAAGGCACTAAAATTAAGAAAATCTGGATAACTTTGCACTGTTTCTCAACAACGACATGGTTATGGTGACCAGCTTTTGCCGTTCCATCTAATCTTGCTATGCATATAAGCTGTTACAATTGGGGAAAAAAACTGTAAACAAAATGGTTTTTCAAGGAGTACATGAAAGAGTCATATTCAATCTTCAACTAATTTAGCCTACAAATCTATTTTATTTGTATAAAATTGACAATATCTTTTAAAGAAAGAAAGAAATAAATAAAGGCTCATTATTATTTGCCAAAAGACGTATGTATCTTACTATGAGTACAAGATTTTATAAATTGAAATAGTAGAAAAACTTTTAACATTTTTGGTACCTAAAATATAGAATATAACAAAATAAAGAAGCTATAGTTGCTATGGTTTAATGCAAATAGAGTCACCAATTAAACTGGATACCATACTGGGGGCACTAGATACCAAGATAAGACTTTGAAATTATGTCACTTAGGCTTAAAGTGAAAAATTCCCTTCATGAATGGCACAAAACAAGAGAAGAGAAAGAAGAGAAATGGATAATAAAATGCTTTCTCATTACTTGTAAGTTTAAACTTGGCCGCCAAAATTTGATCTATAGTAAGAATATCTTTTAACACTGGGTGTAGTTTTTCGTTGTTCGTTTTTTCTACTGTGTTCTTAAGGGTGCATGTAGTTAAAAGTAAAAAAGAAAATGTATTAAAAATTAATTTTTTTTATTGTCTCAAATTTATGAAAAGCATTTAATACATACTTTCAGTGATATTTAATGTATAGTATATTTAATACTTCTTAAAATGTTGTCAAGAGTCAATTTTTTAAATAAATTTTTTGGATAAAAGGGAAGCAAGCTAGAAAAGACATTATTCAGATTTGTAACAGTAAATAAATTAAAAGATATACAAATTAATAACGAAAGCAGTATCAAAATTACGAAAACAAAGGTACATTTGATTTAAGAAATGAAAAAAAGAAGAAGACATAATATACCTTTGTTTTAATAGTACGTAAAAATTGAAGCATACAATTTTAATTTTGTTTAACGTTAAAGAGTGATTTTGTTAACTTTCTTTTTCTAAGTTATATAATTCTTCTTTGGACTAAGAAGTTAACTTATCACATTATTTACGGTATACTTCACAGTATTTTTTAGCATTCTTTATATTTAAAAGTAGAGACTTTTTGTCACTATCTCATATCTTTTATATCAAAATTTCTAAAATATATAGTTTATAACCATAAATTTAATTGAATGAGGTGTAATAACTAAAATCATATTGTAGAAAATTAAGAAAGGAAGAAACATTGAATACCGATTTTCATACCCTGATCTGTGTTGGTGGGAACTAAGTGCCAAAAATAGGATCACACGCTGATTGAATCTAATAGATATGTACTATCTATAAGCAAATTAATCGAATATTCATCTGAAAGTAAAAACGAATATTCTTTTGAAGCCCAAAAATCAAGGAATTTAAGCTGAAATTCTCGTGTTTTTTTGCACAAATGTTCTTTTGTAGATAAAATTAGGATAAATTAACCTTTATTTTATATTTTTTTACTTTATTTTTAAAAATAAAATTATGCATAAAATTCTTTTGAAAAATTATGTCGATGGTTTGAATTTTAAAAAATATTAATAATTTAATTTTAAATATCTAAATTTAACTACAACTAAATAATTTCTAACGAAATTAAATTTTTTAATTTAAATCACATATATTCTCTAACTTCATAAAATCCTCCTCCTTCCCTCCAAATCACCCATCCACTGCCACATCGTTCAATTAGTCATTTTACGACTCATGCAAAGTTTTTTCTGGTACTTTTTCTTTAGCTTTTTATATGTTTTTTTTTTTTTTTAATTTCTCTCCTTTTTTTTTTTTTTTTACCTTAATACTCTTTTTCTTTTATTAGTACGTACAGTAGAAACTCTTTAAATTAATAATGTCAGGACCGGAGAAATTTATTAATTTAGAGAGTTATTAATTTATTGATAAATTAATAATTATTAATTTAAAGAGTTTATATATATATATATATATATATATAAGTTACAACCTCTTTTAAAGAATGGGAAAAAAAAATTAAAAATAAAGGTTAACTAGTATTTTCCAAAAGACGTATGTATCTTATTTATGAGTACAAGAATTTACAAATTGAGGTAGCAGAAAGAGGGAATTTAATTTTAATATGGTGTTTTCCTAACATAATTACTGAAATATGGGTTTTTCTGTATAATTACAAAAGTGTGACATTTGAAAAATTGTCAGCAACGATTTTTACAATATCTTTCAATTTTGACTTTCTGGTCTACAATTTTGACTATATCTAAAATGAGGTACAAGCATTAGGTGAGCACGCTTATGTAATGAACAGTGGGTATAAGTGCTATGGGAAGCCACTAAAATTGCGAGTGGCGAGTTTTACTAGCTCTGTCCTGCAACTGAAAAATCGTGGGTAACAATTTTTACTAACACAGTAATACATTGTTCTGCAATTGAAAAATTGTGGGTGACGATTTTTACTAGCACAGTAGTGTATTGAAATGTCGTTTTGTGTGGATGGAGTTGGAACTATGCTTATAAATAGGAATTGAACCATGTTGTATGCACGGATGAGAAAGGAAAATACGAAAAAGAAAACGAGGAAGGAGCTTACAGAAGAACAATATCAAAGAGAGGAATAAAATGGTTCAAGACGTGACAATGTAATCGCACAAACATATTTTACAACGTATTCGTACTCAAAATGTAAGTAAATATTTATTTTTTAATACATGCAATGTAGTATAATTAAAAAAAAATAAATTTTATTTGAGTTATTTATTTTTTAATTAATGAAATTTATTTTAAGTTTGTATAAAATAAAGATAATTATTTTAGTCTAAGTAAACATAATAAAATTGATAAAATTTTAGTATTGGATAATTTTTATTATATTATTTACTTTTAATAAAAATTATTATCATTGAAAAATATATAATAAATTATTCGTACTAAGTGTTAACATTAGCCATTGTATTATATAATAATAATAATAATAATAATAATAATAATAATAATAATAATAATAGATGTAAAAATAAGTAAAGCACAATTTATATTAAAATAATAATAATACTATGTGCGGGTATAATTAAGTAGAAACATATAATTTTTTTGTAGTTAGTTTTTTATATTTTGATATATATTTAATTCATAGATTATTGATAAATTACTATTTTTAAATTTCAGGAAATGAGAGTATTACAACCACGACACTTATCTATAATGCCACTTAGGCCTGAAATAAATGAGATTTTACGAAATGCCAGTTTTGATTGTATTGCACAATTATGTCAAATGCATATAAATGGTGGCCTTATAAATGCACTTGTTAAACGTTGGAGACCAGAATCACATATATTCCATCTTCCTTGTGGAGAATGCACAATAACATTAGAAGATGTTGCTATGTTGCTTGGACTGCGATGCAATGGTATAGCAGTTACTGGTTCTACTAATCCAAATACTTTGGCATTGCAGAATATGTGTGAACAGTTACTAGGAAGTCGGCCCAAATCAAATGATATTGAAGGTTCTAAAATAAGATTAAAGTGGATCACAAAACAACTTGGTTGGCTTACTGCTAATTCAGACATTAGGATAGCACAACATGCTCGAGGATATGTACTTTCTTTGCTGGGACATATTTTAATGCCAAACAAGAGCAACTCCCCAGTACATGGAAAATTCTTACAACTGTTGGTAAATGTCCATGAAATTAGAATGTACAGTTGGGGTTCATCATGCCTTGCTCTTCTGTATAGAGGTTTGGATCGTGGTTCACGACATGATGCCAAAGAAATTTATGGATGCATAATATTATTGCAGGTATGGGCATGACACAGGCTCCCGTGGTTGACTCCAATACCTGGTGAACCAGTAGTATTTCCACTTATACTCAGATAGAGACGTCTTTGATATCCAACCAAGACTCCATATAGGGATCTTAGAAATGTTAGCCTAGCATTAGATAAAATGGCACTACTTGAGGTACTTGTTAATATATTTATACATTTCTTAACTATTTTTATACATGTTTGAAATTATTTATGAATAATTATTTTTGAAAATGCAGTTCATGTGGCGACCATATGAGGATGAAGCGATTGATGTCATTGTTCCACATGATCTGAAAGGAGAACGTTTATTGTGGTTAACTGTAAGCCCGTTGATATGCTTTGAGGTTGTAGAGTGGCATGCAACTGACTGTGTAATGCGGCAATACAATCATTCAGAACATACCGTGCACTGTGAGGAAGCTCTAGTCGTGTGTGGACAGAATTATTAGACTGTAAAAATGGAAATCTATCCCATGCCCACATCATAAGTAATGGGGTTAATCCTCCAATACCAAAATGCTTAATATTAGTCGACATGCATAACTCTCGGTATTGGAATGTCAATGTTGTAGCTCCCCAACTATACTGTCTTGTGATAGTAAAATCCTCTAGCAATGGAAGGTACCTAACTAGGACTCTACTAGAGGAATGATCAGCCAACATGAACCTACCTATCAACCTCAGAATATAAGCTCTAGCAAAGCGAGTAAGTTGAAGTTCATTATGATTATGTATTGCAACATGTGTAAAGTGTTAGTCCAACTAACTCAACTTCAAACTACTCCCCATAAATGCATCAGCAGGTGGTCTAATACCAAGCAAATCCTCCACAATTTATGTCTTATCACCTTCTACAGCTACAATCACTGCCTTTCCATTTATACGAAGCCCTGTCTGAATAAAAATGTCCTGAAGAGTTATAGTACACTCTCTAGGAGGCATGTGGAAGGTATGCGTCTCTAGCCTCCATCTTTCAACCAAGGCTGTAATAAGATGTCGGTCAATAGGAAAGCATACCAATTGAGCTACTCCAGCAAATCCAGCTAAAGTTAGATGAGGAAGTATCTCCACTGGAACCCCTTCCATGCCAGCCGGTATGAAGTGACTCCTTCTCACCTTCAAAACTGGGTGCTCACATCCATCCCAAATATGCTCCGATACGTGAACAGACTGATATTTCAATAATGAATCATCCTCCGAGTCAGGATTTAAAACCCTACTCCGCGATAAAGATGATGTCATCTGAAATAAAATTTGTCAACTTTAACTGAAATTATGTACATTAAAATGAATAGATTAAAAAAATATATTAGTTTATCATTTTATTTTTCATTACTACCTAATTTTTATTACAATTATTTAACTATAACAATAACAAAATTTCAAATTAACATAAAAAACTCTTTCATTTAATTATTATATTAAATAATTTTTAACAATTTAAAAACTTTTAAATATTAATTTACAATTATAATAAATAGCTATAAATGTAATTACATGCACTCAATTTACTCTGATCAATAATTTTTTTATTTACTCTAAATTTTAAAAACTAATTATTATTCTTACTACATCTATTTTTTTTTTGTTACAAATTCTTTATTATATCTTAATCTACCATCAAAATATAAAAATTTATTATTTCTCCGAAGTTGTATAAAATTTCGGCCATTCTACTACATTCCATATATTTTTTTCTCATTACTATGTTTTTTATTTCTTCTTTATGAACCGTATATCTTAATATCAAATTTTCTTTCCTCTTAATTTAATAATTAATTACTATAACAATTTATCTTAATATTTAATAATTAAAATATATTATTGACTTTCTAAAATTTAAATTCAATACATTCTTTAACTAACAAATTATAAATATTTAATATTATATTATATAATATCTAATACAATTTATTTAAAATTTTAAATCATAAACTTTCAAGCAAATATGTAATTTTTTAAATATATTTGATGATATACTTATTATATTATTTATTGCTAATTTTTAATGAACTTATTTTTTAAAACATAATTATAATATAACTATATATGTTATTTTTATCAATAATTTTAATAAAAATATTGCATTTACACTTATTCAAAAACTAAATATTATCTTTACTACTAACGTTATTTTTTGAGTCAATAATTTTTTTATATATCAATCTACCATATAAAGAACAAAAATTTTTATTTCTCTTACATTTATTATTTAATATTTTTAGTGCATGTGAATATATATTTTTTCATTATGATGTTTTTTATTTTTTTTAACTATATTTATTTATATATTTTTTCTTTCCTCTTAATTTATCAATTTATTACAATCAAAATTTTTCTTGTTATTTAATAATTAAATACATATTATGGATTACTATAATTTATATTTAATACATTTTTAAACAACTAATTATAAAACAATAACAATTATATTATATAATTTTTCATAGCATTATCTAAAATTTTATAGCTAACAAAATACAAAAATTAATTTTTTAAATATTAAAAAACAAAAAAATAATTGTACACCTGCGCTAGACTGAATATATACTCTCTTCTTCAGGAACTCCACCAACCACCACCCACCGCCACCCACTCACCCAGAAAATGACCTACACCATAATCTCAATGTAAGATGCATGCAATTTCATGTTTAAAAACTAAACTATATTCAATTTATTATTTCTTTTACCTTATAATAATTTTATCTTCAAATTTTTGAAAACTCAGACCCAACAAACATAGGCAATGCTATGTTTTTTTTTTCAAGAGCCTGAAATGAATGTTCTGCAACTAAGATGCTAACGGAGAAGAAGAAAGGAGGAAGAAGGAGCAACTCCCAAACAGTCAAACTGCAATGCCACGTGGACCAATCACGGTTGTGCCGTCCCTGACGCAGCTGACACTGAAGTCGGCTCTGGACCAGCTGACACTGAAGACAGCTATGAACCAGCCGACACTTCTATGATTTACACACGTGTCTCCTTTTCTTCTCCATCCGTTGATTGTTTTTGAATTATTTTAATTTTTTTTTGTGTTTAATTGGTGTCGTCTAGACTAGGGACGATTCTTTTGGCACGTGGACCCCCCAACCCCAGATCAGGAATTTGTTTTCATGAAACCCTATTTGGATAATTTTTTTTTAAAAATTAACCCTAAAAGGGCAAAAAACCTGAATATATTTTAACACTGAGTTGGTATATTTTTTTGTTATTTGTTTTTTATTGTGTTCTTAAGGGTGTATGTAGTTAAAAGTAAAACAATTTGCATTAAAAATTAATTTTTTTATTATCTTAAATTTATAAAATGCATTTAATACATACCTTTTTAATATATAGTATGTAAAATAATTCTCAATATATTCTCTACATGATTAGGATGATACGGCAACGTAATGCCATTGTAGGATATAAATATAAATATATAATTCTTTTGTCATTCTTTATTTACTTGCATATAGACATTTTCGTGATGTAGATGAATTAGGTTTAATTGTATTATATTCAAGGAAATCATCATAATTGCTACCAAGAACAATAGACAAAGCACTAAACACAACCATTAGTAAAAGCATATAGTGTTTTAACACTTTGTTTTGATCAATATATTATTAAAATTACTACATAATTTATTGAAAAAAATATAAATTTATCTCATAAATGCATTTTACTCAATATAATTCATTCAACTTGGTCTAATTTACCAAAAATAAACAAGACAGGTTAGGTCATGTTGCACCAGTAAAGCTAGACAATTTTGCTAATCTCAATTTTGCACCAAAAATAACCTGTCACTAGCATTCCTTTTAACAAGGACTCTCACTTCTAATTTTACATTGCGTACGATATTTAAATTTTTATTATTATTTTAAATTTTTTTTTTCTATGTAATAGCTTTGATCCATTTACTGAAGGTCATCGTAATCACAGTTGATACAAATTAAGTATAGCTACTCATATCTCATTAAGACTAATCTTCCTAGGGATGCTACGCAAGAGTAAAAGTTATGATTAATTATGTGTTCTGAATTTTGTGTAGGCAAAGATACTATATTTTGCTTGAGGATGAGCTTGCTCTTAAGAGGGTTTAGAGGATTAAGTCTTTTAAGCAGTTACAAAACATGTTCCAAAATGTCTAAAAGAGGTATATGAAGAGCCTTTGATTGAATAATGCCACCCTATGTGAGGGCCAGCGACCCAACCTTCAAGGATAGGTTGGACAAGAGGAAGATGAATTAGACTTCATAAAAAGGCAGATCACTTAATCCTAATGGGTTGCGCATCCGGAAAGGAATTTTCAATCATCTAGTAAGTCTTTAACCTTTATAAGATTAATAAATTATTAAATATTTATTTATTACGATTGAATTGTGAAAAATACTATATTTTTATGATTTTATTATACATATCAGTGCAAGTGAGGGTGTTAAATAGCTCTTCAAGGTCACCTGAAAGTTGGGTTGATCCTTGCTTTCAAATGAAAGAAACCTACCACCAAAAAGGTGACCTATGAGGAAAGTCTGGAGAGATCTAGGTTGATCCTCGTTTCAAAGTTACTGATGTAAATTTGAATTCAATCATTTTTCTAGTTAATTTTTATTACTATTTTTATTTATGTCATAATTATTACATACAACGTGTTTTATCTTTCTTTCTTTTTTCTTTGTAGTATGAGTTCAAGTGAGAGCAGACACAAACTCAACACTAAATACAAGCGGTTGAGGCTAGGCCCGATATTGATATTCCCTCCTCCTTCAAATGAGGAGGATGTATGGGCTCAAATAGTGGCCCTTACAAGGGACACATGTATGAGACGAGCTTAAATAGTATATCTCTGTCAATGCCCACCTCATAAAAAAATTACTATACCAATTAATTAGAGCAGTCTTTTAGAGTTTCTTCTCAACATTGCTCATCAGCACCACCTAAGGTAGCACCTAGAGCACAACCATCTCACTCACCTACACTAGTAGAAGGCAATCAACCATTGGGTGTACACGTAGTTGAATGATTCCTTTTACAGGTAAATGTTCTATCATTTATCATTTTAGCTTAAAATTTAAATTATGTCAGGAATCTTTTACCTTACTACCAATTGAGGGTATGAAAGTATGATTTATTCATATGCCTCTTACCTTGAATTCCTTTCAAGATGGTCCTACACACTTAATGATTCCTTCTGCATGTTCACTTTACATTAGAATCACAAAGAGATTTTTGCTTTTCCACGGTCTATACCAATAGAATTTGCAACATATGTCTTATGGTCTACTAATAGGGATGATGGGAATGAATAAAGTCAAGCTTAAGGTTAATTAAGTTCTATTCTATTACACAAAACTAGAGTCTCAGACTAGATCGATGACATAATATAGACCAAATTTTTAGAGTTAGTTTGACTTTTAAAAAAGCTTGACCTAATACAATAGCCTATTTAGTAGCCTATTAAC